AATTCCCTGCCCGTTACCCGTTTAAGACGAGGCCGGGCGGGGAGGGGTCTTTGCCTCGTTTACTACTCGTTTAAATTTTTTTTTTTTTAGTTTTTGATAATTTATTTTTATTGTCCATATTTATTAGATTTAGACAAATAATTTTAGCTGCTATTTTCTATTAGAACTAATGAAAAATTTCATTTAAAGTATTGAATTCTAAAAAAAATAAAATTAATGAGGCAGTGCGGGGCTCCCGTTACCCGTCCTAGCCCATAACCCGCCTCGAGGCAAAATTCTCGGCTCCGCCCCGCCCCGCCCCGAATACCCAATTAAGTGAGTTATCCTCACCCAATTCAGAGCGGGGTGACGGAGTCCCGTGGGTATCGGATTTTTTTGTCATCCCTAAACGACATGCATGTGTAGTTGGCATGAAATCGAAGAACACGTCTTTTATAATTTTATTATCAAATGTGTTAGTACAATATGTTTTGCGTGTTTTTAAAAAAAATTTAGCCAATGGGAAAGAGTTTCTAGACGTTATTTTTTATTATTTCAGCTAACATTTTTAATCCAAGTTATATTTGCATTATGAAGGCAAAAATTTGACATAACATGGTGTTGTGGGATTTTCGTGCCTCCCAGGAATTTTTCAGCTGTCTAGCTTAATCTAATTTTTTGGTGCGTTCAAGGCTAGGAAAAACTTAAAAGAAAGATATTGAAATTTTCCAAAAGCACACAGAGAATCTCTTTTCTACATCCAATAAAGAAAGTGAAAACATTTGACTATAATTCAATATAACCCATTTTTTTCATTCCATATGCAAGATTGCAGCGTAGATTATTATTCATATGGAAAGATATATAACCACAGAATGCACATAACTAAGTAATTAAGTTCGTTAGTCAATTGAGTTGTAACCAATGTACAAATCATCTGCCTTAATACGAACTCACAGACCCGAACTTTTCTTGAGCTTCTTCGAAAAGTTCATTAACAGAAATCCGAACTTACTTTATTATTAAAGTCAAGAATACAATAAAAATCTCAAAAGATATTTTGCCTATACAGAGACTCTGCATGGGGTGGCCGGTGGGAATGAGATTGGGGTCCATGGGGATGATATTTTTGGATTAGATCGACTCAAACATAGTCACTTGGCATGATTTTCTTGGATATTTATCTTAACAGGAAATTTGGCTTAACAGGTGTTCAGTCAACTACAGGTGTTTGATTTGAACTGCATCGATAGTGAGGTGATCATACTGGGAAAGGATAACGCTAATTTAAGATCTGCGATATCCAGTTCGTTTATT